TTTTTTCACAATAATACTAGTATTTTTCGTTCATTATTGTTTTAAGTTAATTTTAAAAATTATTTTTAACTTTTTAGTTCGATGTGCTTTAAAAGCGTGTTTTTTAGTTTTTTTAAACTATATTTTTAGTCAAACTATTCATACATGTGTAAGAAACAATAGTTAAATCAGTATTAGTGAACAATTGATTTAATAATTTTTATTGATTAATTGTGATGGTGTCACGTTTTATAATCGTGAGAATTATTTTAATAAAATACAGACAGCACATCCGCTGCCTGAGACTGATGAATTAACAAATAATATTTATTGCCAAATCGGCAATATTCCAATTATTATAAAAACCCAATAGACCTGACCATCGTCGTCAGTCGACTCCAGTGCCTTGTGTCATTCATCAGTCTCAGTACTCGGTTGTCGCTGTCCGGCTTACTGTTTAAAGTAAAGTCTTTGTTTATTCCTTTTCTAACCTATATACTCTTTTCCTCGACATTTCAGAGTACTTGTGTCTTGCACTTCGTCTGCACCTCGTACTTTATTATCCTCTCCTAATAACTAAAGTACTTGTGTCTTGCACTTCGTCTGCACCTCGTACTTTGTTATACTCCTTATCTGGTACGCCCAGTATTTGTGTCTTGCACTTCGTCTGCACCTTATACTCGGCTACCCCGTTCTCTCTTTGAAGTACTTGTGTCTTGCACTTTGTCTGCACCTCGTACTTTGTTATACTCCTTACCTGGTACGCCCAGTATTTGTGTCTTGCACTTCGTCTGCACCTTATACTCGGCTACCCCGTTCTCTCTTTGAAGTACTTGTGTCTTGCACTTCGTCTGCACCTCGTACTTCATTGTCCTCTCCTATACCCCAAGTATTTGTGTCTTGCACTTCGTCTGCACCTCATACTTTGGGCTCCTTTTGCGTACACCTGGTATTTGTGTCTTGCACTTCGTCTGCACCTCATACCTAGGTGTTACTCTTATTCTCCCTTCCTATAACAACAGTCTTTCGACACCCACAGCTTACCCGGAGTGTCAGCCGAGCACGGTGACTGCTGTACGACAACACGCACGTGAATACCTAGACAGCAGTCACCACCTCCTCATATTCATCTTCGTACACATAGTTGCACATTTACACTTTTACCTTTTTCACTTTGCTGTGTTACGACATAATATTATTGATATATTTTTAATGTTTTTTATTTATACTTTATCATGATAAAATAAAATCAAACTGCATTTTTTAGATGTATTAATAATAATCAAAAAACTGTAGCACAATGGGGTCCTGGTACGGTAGGAACGCGCATTGGAATTTGTTTATTAAAAATGGAGAAGGAAGGTAAGTTCTCTACATTTTTGGCTTTTAAATTTTGTCTTGTAACGTCACAAATTGGAAGGTGGACCGTTAATAATTTTTATTATGACTATTTGTTGTTTATTTTTATGGCGTAAGAGAATACGCGAATGAACCTTTATCCGACAAAACGGTGTCAATAATTCATTATTGTTGCGGTTAACCACTAGATTAGGCATCAAGATATAATATGTATAACTAAAATCAAATTTTTTGTTGATGTTGATATCTCCCAAAAAAACTGGCAGTTATCGATTTTGTGGATTGCCGTTAGATTGCTGTTGGCTCTTCGTCAGCCTTTCTGTCATTGACCGTTCTAGAATACACATAATTATAGTTTTCTTGTCACTATTATTTTTATGGTGGAGTAGAGCCTACAACGGCAAACAACCCATGTCTTTTCGGCGAAGCATCTAGACCATCGGATTAGTCTCTTCGGAAACCGTTTTCTTTTATCTTCGATGCAAAGCTGAGAAGGTATTAATTTTACCATGAAGCGTTTTTTTGTCCCGACGACCTATCGTCTTTGTGCAAATGGCTACCGTATTCAAAAATATGCTTTTTTTGTATTAAAATTCTGGATTTTGTATTTTATTTTATTTTAAAATATCTTATAATATACTGACTTTCATAAATATTATATAATTTAATTAACATAGAATAAAGTTCATAAGACATAAGAAATTAAACTTATTTAAATTTTTTTAGTTTTTTAAAGTCGAAAAATTAACTTTTAATTTGACTCAAAAATTGCTAATTTTATCGTGTGTCGATAACGACAAACAGATATCGAATCGGTTACACTTGTGTCTTTCACACTTAAGGTACGATGTTCGTATCCGCCTGTGGCAATTAATATTTTGTATTTTTTTTGAGTTAGAATAAAATTTTCAAATATTTTAATATTTATCTCATTTAGATTTAATAACTTCAATAAATATAAAGGATCCTATTACTAGTGTCCCCTCGTGAGAAGAAATTTATATTCATGTTAATATTATTTTACTATGTGGTTCTTTTTGTGGCTACGATTTATTTTGCCAATCCTCACTCGACCTACTTTTTTCAACGATATGTCAAATGATTACAATTCGTATTTAGTTGAAGATATTACCCTCAAAAATTGAAAAAAAAATTTTAATCAAATAACCAGCTTTATCCACACAATTAAAATCATTCATTTCTACTTTGAAATTTATTAATTATTTTACTCTATTTGTGAGTGCTACTACTAATCTATAAAATTTCAAATTTTTTCGTAACATGTTGCTATACAAATCATAAATCTAAAAAAAAAATGATATTTAGTTTCACCTGAATTTATTAATGGATAAAATAAAAAAATTACTGTAAATAGTAATTATAAAGTTTCCTGATTGCATATTAATCTTAACAGTACCATTTTTTCTATTTAATGAAGTCAATTTCAAACTTGCAAATTGAATTAAAAGTTATGGTAATAAATTCATTTTTTTTTTTTGTTATAAACTTTCACTTCAAAGGACAAAAAAAGTATGTAAAAAATTATTATTTTTAACATATTAAAAATCAATAATAATTTGAAAACAATTAATTATAAAAATTATATAATATATAAGTAAAAGAATTATTAATTTGGATATAATTAAGGAAATAGAAGTTGATGTTGTTTTTGTAATTATCCGCCAATTTCTTAGAGTTAAACACTATCTACAGATTTGCATCGAAGCGTTTCTTACGATAGTGATTTTAATCACTGTCAGATTAAATCTATAATGGACCCAACTATGCCACGTCCCCACTGTGCCGCGACCCCACTTTGCTGGGTTTTTAAATACCCATTAATACTATATTATGTTGAACACAATAATTATTTTATAAATATATTTATGTAATGAGCTATTATATTAATTATTTTATTTCATTATTATTCTATTATTATTATTCTATTAACTTTATATTATTTATGTGTGGATAGCACATGTTTCCAGTTTTTTTAGCCAGCGCTAAAGAGCGAGTGTCCAAACCGCACTTTGTGTTTTTCATTAATTTTTGATTAACATTAACGGATGTGTTCTAATGCTATCCATGAAGTTTGTTATATCATTCGATTTGATTTTTATGATCAGCCTTTATTTGTAAACATGATTTTTGTTACATTCGTATTATTGTCCATGTTTAATTTAACTTTCTTTTTTAATAACTTAATTTAGTTTCCTTACTAATCTTAACTGTAACATTTAATTTTATTGTGCGAGTTAAATTTGGTTAATAAACCACGAGGTATTATAGTCATTTATATTTAACGACATATTAACTTAAATTGAATTATTGAATAACTTAAAATTAAATTCCACCAATGGTCTGGTAATCATTAATTCATTTGTATGTATATTATTGCATCGTATTTACACTATGTTTTGGAACAAATATAAAATTGATTGCTTGTCGGGAAAATTTTTTATTAAGTACTTATTGTAGATATATTTTATGCAGTTTAAAGAAAAAAATTTCCGCATCATTCTGCCCTTTTAGCTTCGATGCGAAGCTGAGAAGGTATTAATTTTACTATGATGTGTTTTTTTTTTTTTTTTTTTTGTGTCTGTATACGCTCAATCTCAGCTCTCACTGAACCGATTTTGATGAAAAATATGTCAAAAGATCACAAATCGTATCTAGTTGAAGACATTACCCTCAAAAATTGAAAAAAAATCCCTCGTTCCTCGTAAACGGGGGAAATCCCCCAAAAAATTACAAATTTAAAAATCGCTAATTTTCGATATTTTTTCATTTTTTTTTACTTAAAATTGCCATAACTTTTTTAAAAATGAC